TTTATAGAATTACCATAATAGTACTTGTTTATTATAATATTTATATTACTAGTTTAGTAAAGTAAAATACATTCTAAAATATTAAAACTTAGACAAATTTGTGTAAGTAGCATTGACTGTTTGCATTTTGTTTAAATTTTGTTTGCATTTTTGTTTGTTTGCAGTTGTTTAAAGTTGTAGCAAAACATTACATTACATAAATTTTCTTTTAAATAATATTATACAATATGCATACATATTTATACAGGTAATACACATAGAAAAATAATTAATGTTAATAGTGTTGAAATGAGTTTTATCTAAGCATTACAATTTGATAAAAAGTAATAATGTAAGTTTTTGATTAGATATAAAGAATGTTAATATAAAATATTTCAAGAATAAAAACTTCATGTACATTTGTTTATTGACGAGACTAGTATGTTCCTTATCTCATCTTTCGAATAATGTAATAACTATTTTGAACATGATAAAATTAATTAATGTAAAACAAAACTATCAAAAGATAAAAAGTTATATCAATGTATCAAATTTATCAAAATAAAGGGTTATGTACAAGTTACAAATAAATGTATAGGAATATGTTTTAATAACAGCGTGAATTCACCGAATGTCAAAACAAGCACGCTACATGAGAGGTTATGTAAATGTTTATGAACTAACACTAATTACACTTAAGTATTCTAAATAAAATATAAATACATTATTTACCTCTAAAGGATCCAAAAAGTGATTTAATGGTAAACATTGGGCACAGGATGTGACTCAAGTTAATTTTTTTATCATAACCTCACACCAATTGATAAATAATACAAGAGTTTACAGACAGTGAAAATACTTGTCAATGAGTCCTAATAGTTAACAAAAATTATTTAATGTCAAATAAATAATATTTACAAGTTAGAAACGTCATTTTAGGACACAATGTAACCTATTATACAAACATCACACAATCATAGACTGGAAAATTGACCACATTTCTCTCTAGCAAGATATTCAATTTACACTTCACAAGTTCAACTAGCATTGGAACAACTATAGAAGAATTTGGTATTTCATGTTCAACACTGACTCGTTTAAAAGAAAGACAGATAAATAAGAAAACTTATTAGTGTAAAAGAGAAGCAGCAGTAAGAAATTTAACCAACTTTTCGGGAAATTTATTTCTAAAAATGATACATCATCAATTGTTTTTAATTCATTTGAATTTAATGGAATTAAAAATTTTGTTTTATTAAGCGTCCTCTTATATCTGAACTATATTACTTTTTTAACAAAAAATTTTTACATTTGTTCATCGTATTTACTTTTGTTTAGGGTAGAACTGTACTATATTAAGTTCAGTTACCAATATACCAATAGGATTCCATTCTTTAAATAAATTGTTCATGTCCAAAATTATAATACAAACCTAAGTTCAAGACGTAGACATTTTTATATCGAAGATCGATATCTGTGGGTACAACTCAATGTAATTTTGATAATACGTGTAATAATATGTCAATCTAAAAATCATTTCAATATTGAATAAGAAATGTGTGGAATTCAAGCTAATTTAAGAAAGCAAATTTTGCTTTTAAATTTTCACGACTACTTGTATT